CGGGCGGCGCGGAGCGGGCGCTGGCGGGGCGCGCTGCTGGCCTTCGCCGCGTGGACGGCCGGCTGGGTGCTGGCGGCCGCGCTGCTGCTCCGCGCGCGCCCGGCCGTCCTCCCGGAGCGCTGCACCGACGAGAAGAGCCGGCGCATCCTGGCCGCGCTGGTAGGTCCGCCGCCTGCCCGGGGCGCGTCCGGTCGGGTCCCCACGCGCTCTCCGGGGCCCTCGGGGCGCGTCATCCGCCGTGCTGCCGCGGCGTGGCCACCGCTCCTTGCGGGGAAGGGGGTGGCCGGGGGCGGCGCCGAGGGGAGAGGACGGGTGCATGAAGTCCCCAGGCGAAGCCTGCGCGACCCGGGACCGCCCTCCCCGTCTCTGCACAGTCCAGCGTCCCGGCTCGACCTTCCCGCGCGCCCGGAGCCTCGGCTCCAGAAGAAAGTTTGCGGGCGACTCTCGGGCCCGGCGCTCACAGCAGCTTAGGTGGCCGGGTCTGGGACGGATGCCTCTTTCCTGGGCTACCTCGCCCCTTAGGCCGCCCTTCGGTGACCCCACCGGGGCTGCCCGATCACCCCCACCTGATTAAACCCCAAGATTGCGGCTCTGGTTTCTCCTCCCGGTGACCCCAAGACCGGCCTGGCTGTTCGCGCGGAGCCGCTTCCCCTGGGCCACCCCGCTCCGTGCTCCGCGGCCCCCTAAAGCGGGAGGTCAGAGGATTCCACCAAGCTGCTCCCTGACCTGTCCGGATTGTTGCGGATAGTAAGAACCAGGTCAGGTCAGCGGATGCCCTGGGCTTTCGTCCCTGAAGCAAAATGCAAATTTCTTTCCTTCTTTCTTTCTTTCTTTCTTTCTTTCTTTCTTTCTTTCTTTCTTTCTTTCTTTCTTTCTTTCTTTCTTTCTTTCTTTCTTTCTTTCTTTCTTTTTTTTTTTCGTGATTCTGCTTTGGAATCATACTTAGGGGAGGCCAGTGCAGGGAGGCTTCCCGAAAGGAGGAGAAAGTGGCCTGTACTTGCTTCCTACCTCGATTACTCACGTCCTAAGTTGTGACTACCTGAGCATTTGGCTGGAAATCTAAAACAAAAGCTTAGAAGAGGGCTGGAGTTCAGTTCACTTGTTTAGAAAGGTGGTTTTTGTTGTTTTGTTTTCAGATTGTGAGAATTTCGAGACGTTGATTATTAAGCATTACCTATTTTTAAGGGATCTCTCTTTCTCTCTGTCTCTCTCTCTCTCCTCTTTTGGATATTCAAGACAGGGTTTCTCTGTGTAGTACTATAGCTGTCCAGGAACTGTCTCTGCCTCGGCCTCTCTGCCTCTCAGCTTCCGCTTCTGTCTCTCAGCCTCTGCCTCTGCCTCTGTCTCTCAGCCTCTGTCTCTCAGCCTCTGTCTCTAAGCCTCTGCCTCGGCCTCTTTGCCTCTCTGCCTCTCAGCTTCTACCTCTGTCTCTCAGCCTCTGCCTCTGCCTCTGTCTCTCTGCCTCTGACCTCTGCCTCTGCCTCTGCCTCTGTCTCTCAGCCTCTGTCTCTGCCTCCGCTGCCTCTGTCTTCTGCCTCTGCCGCCTCTGCCTCTGCCTCAGCCTCTGTCTCTGCCTCCGCTGGCTGCCTCTGCCTCTGTCTCTCAGCCTCTGTCTCTGCCTCCTCTGCCTCTGTCTTCTGCCTCTGCCTCCTCT